CCTAGATAACCTGTCCAATGTTGAGAGAGGGGTTTTCAGGTTGCCAGATATTATCATATTTGGGTCTATCTCTTTCTTTAGGTCTAACAGTGTTTGCTTTATATATCTGGGTGCTCTGTTATTGGGTGCATATATATTTAGGATTGATCATCTTGCTGCATAGGTTCCTTTGTTATTACATAGTGGCCTTCTTTGTCTCTTTTTATAGTTTTTGGTTTAAAGTCTATTTTATCCAATGTAAGAATAGCTACTCCTGCTTGTTTTTGATTTTCTCTTGAGTGGTATATTTTTTCCCATCCCTTCACTCTTAGTCTGTGAATGTCTTTTACAGTTGAGGTGAATCTCTTGTATATAGCATATAGTTGGGTCTAGCTTTTTAATCCAATCAGCCAATCTGTGTCTTTTCAATGGGGAATTTAATCTGTTTACATTTAGGGTTGTTACAGAAAGTAATTCACACTAAGGTATTGTCTTCTGACATTTTATTGATTTTTATTTGGATGTTTTAAATATCTTTTGTTTCTTTTACTTTTATTGTTTGTATTCAGTGTTTCTTGGTTTTTGGATGTGGTAAGATACAGTTTCTTCCTCTATCTTGTTTGCATTTTTGTTCTACCAGTATGTTTTGTTCTTATGTGTTCATGGAAGTGGTTGTTGTTTTTTGGATTCCAGATTCAGGACTCCCTTGAGGATTTCTTGTAGGGCTGGTCATGTGGTGGTAAACTCGTATAGTTTTTGTTTGTGTGGGAAATATACTATTTCTCCTTCATTTCTGATGGATAACCTTGCTGGGTATAGTATTCTTGGCTGGCAGTTTTTTTTTCTTTTAGTATTTTGAATATATCATCCCATTCTCCTCTATCTTGTAGGGTTTCTGTTGAGAAGTCTGCTGTCTGATGGGGTGACTTAACGCTTTCTCTTGCTGCTTTTAGGATTCTCTCTTTGTCTTTGAGTTTTGCCAGTTTGATTATAATGTGCCTTGGAGAGGACCTTTTTGGATTGAATCTATTTGGGAATCTTTGAGCCTCCTGAATCTGAAGGTCCATATCTCTCCGTGTATCTGGGAAGTTTTCCACTATTATTTCACTGAATATGTTTTCAATGCTTTTTCCTTTCAGGAATACCCTTCACTCAGATGTTTGTATGCTTAAGGTTGTCTGCTATCTCTCTTAGATTTTCTTCCGTTTTTAAAGTTCTTTTTTCTCTTTTTGTCTGCCTGAGTTATTTCCAAGAGATTGTCTTCAAGATCAGAAATTCTTTCTTCTGCTTGCTCTAGATTGCTGCTTATGCTCTCATTTGTGTTTATTTCTTTGAATGACTCCTTCAGTTCCATGAGTTCTGCTAAATTCTTTTTTAAAGTATTAATCTCTTTGTAGATTTCCTCTTCATATTCTGGATAGTTTTCCTCAGTTCATTGTGTCATTTAACTGCATCATCTTGCATCTAAATGAGTTTCTTCCTGATTTTTATTTAGAATTCCTTTTCAGTCATTTCAAAGTTTTCCTGCTCTATGACCCCCACCTACTTTGAACTCATTTGCTATTTTTCTGCTCACCTACCCCAAATTATGAGAACTCTGGTAGTTATAAAAGTGTGGCTTTAGTTATGATCTTCCATCCTGGAGGATGCTGTAGACTTACAGAATAGAAGGTTTGGAAAGAATCCCATAGAACAGTGGCTCTCAATCTTTTTTGCTTGGGCATTTTTGCACGAATTATTTTCATTATGCTTTCCTCAGTCAAGGTGCATGACATATCACTGGCAAAAAATAAGTGTTTGGTGAATGAATGAACTAAGAAGTTAAAGTGATTGCATACATCAGTGGTTCTGAAACTCTGTGGTCTCAAAATATATTTTGAAGACCCCAAAGAGTTGTTATTTGTGTGGATGTGTCTGTAGATATTTATCATATTAGAATTTATAACTGGCAAATTAAGTTATTTATTTATTAAAATATCAATAAACTTATTATATGTTAACATAAATACAGTAGTCCCCCCGTGTCTACATATCCATAGTGAATGTGTTTCATGACCCTCTAGTGGATGCCTGAAACTGTGGATAGTACTGAACCCTATATTTACTGTTTTTTCCTATGCATACATATCTTTGAAAACGTTTAATTTATAAATTAGGCATAGTAAGAGATTAACAACAACTAATCATAAATAAAGCAATTATAACAATAAACTGTAATAAAAGTTATGTGAATGTGGTCTTTCTTTCTCAAAATATATTAACGTACTGTCTTCTCCCTCCTTGTGATGATATGAGATAATACAATACCTTTGTGATAAGATGAAGGGAGGTGAATGAGGTAGGCATGTGAGGTACTGTGAGGCTGCTGTTGTACTTCTGATGGTACGTCAGAGGGAGGGCCATCTGCTACACGCGATCCTGGATCATTGAGCCATGGCAATGGCAGGAGCAGACAATGCTGATGACGAACAGTGGGGGTGGGAGTTAGCATATACAACATGGATATGCTGGATGAGGGATGATTCATGTCCCGGGCAGGATTTCATCACACCACTCAGAACAGTGTGCAGCTTAAAACTTATGAAATATTACTTTCTGGAATTTTTCATTTAATATTTTTGGGTCGTGGTTAACTGAGGGTAAATTCAACTGCGGATGGGCCGGCCCGGTGGCGCACTTGGTAGAGTGCGGCGCTTGGGAGTGCGGCGGCGCTCCCGCCGAGGGTTCGGATCCCATATAGAGACCGGTCCGCTCACTGGTTGAGCGCGGTGCGGGCGCGACACCGAGGGTTGCGATCCCGTTGCCGGTCACGAAAAAAGACAAAAAGGGGAAAAAAAAAAATTCAACTGTGGAAGCAAATCTGTGGATAAGGGGTGACTGCTGGAATATATATTTATGAAATGTAACTGTGTTTACCAAGATAAGATAGTCAGAAGTGCAGCATTGTTTTATATTTTTGGTCTCAAAATATATTTCAAAAACCCAAAAGAGCTTTTATTTGTGTGGATATATATTTATCATATTATTAGCAGATGGCTTAGTGGGAGATAGCTGGATTCTCACATCTACTTCTTCATTAAGACTGTTGTAAGATGTTGTTCTGGTGTAAGCACATGAAGAATATCTGGCCTCACAAAGAGACGTAGCTGGGAAAGAGAAGAGTTTGGCTTTTCAGAAAATTGTCATTATTCTTCTTTGATACTATACCAAAACTTGACAAGAGGCAGTTTCCTAACAATTAGCTGCAATGTGGAGTCCAAAACTGTTCCATCCACTGTCATATGGGAATATTTCAGATTATTTTGCACGTCAGGTGGGCTCTTTTGCACATGTGTGATTTTATTTTTATTTTATTTTTTTATTTTTTTTATTTTTTTAATTTTTTTCCTTTTTTTGTCTTTTTCCGTGTCCAGCAACGGATCGCAACCCTCAGTGTCGCGCCCGTACCGGACCGGGACCGGCAACGGGATCGCAACCCTCGGTGTTGCTCCCACACCTCGCTCAGCCAGTGAGCGGGAACCGGTCTGTATGTGGGATCCGAACCCTCGGCAGGAGCACCACCGCGCTCCCAAGTGGCGCACTGTAGCAGTGCGCCACTGGGCCGGCCCGCACATGTGTGATTTTATAACCTCATGGTTCACTGAGTTGTGCCTATCTTCCAAGTGCCAACATATTTATTACACTATATGATATCAAAAAAATCATGTTTCTTAATGTCATTCCTGATCTCATTACGAAAGTCTCTTAAGTACTGGGAGGCTGTCAAGCTCATATAGTGGTGGATGCAAGTTTTCCAGAATTCTTATTTTCCCTGGGAAGCTCAAATTTTATTATTGGCAACAAATGCTGTTTACCTTGAAGTGGTAAGCTTGCTTTGTTATTTTTGAGAACAAGTCTGCCAGATACTCAACTTTAAGTAATTGCTGTTTTCCTGTCATTCATTCTTTCAAGTAAAGGCCAGGCTATATGAAAAAGTGGCTTGAGGTAGCAGTAGCTAAACTGTTGTGTGAATGAGTCTCCTTTAGACAGCCATGGCAGCACTCTGTCTACAGAAGTGCTTCAGGCGGGCTTTCCGTTCATCACACAGGATGTTGAAAAAGGCATATTCTCAAGGGTCGAGATGTAATAAAAGCAACCATTTTTACTGCTTCATCAAGGGCAGTCACTCTTTAAGTAAGAGTGGCTTCTTTTTTTTTCACTTTGAGCATACAATGAAGACTATGGTAACCACAAATATACTTTACTGTCACTGCTTTGTGTGCTAAGATGCTTGCAGTTTTCTCTTTGCATGTACAACGTTAGTGCAGGAAAAAGGCGATTAATGTCTTAGGATTATGAAAATAATTTGTACCTTGTCGATTCCCTGAAAGGGGTTTGGAGTTCCCCAGAGATTTGCATCATCATTTACAAATTGCTGACATAAGTCAGTGTTCCAGTCTTGTGGATATCGGAGGAAAAGTCTGCCATAATCCTAGAAGGAAAAGACATGGTAGGAAGTCAGCACCTGAACTTACATTTTTTGTTCTCCTTGGCATCTCACATCCTTTGTTGTAACTGAATGAACACACTCACTGCCATTCTGCGGATGGAGCCAGCCCTACAAAAGCAGAAAGTTGGTTGCTGTGTTTCTGAAACCATGCCCTAGTGGTTATTTGAAAACTATTTGGCATTTTAAACTCCTATCTCTGTCCTGACATTGAAATTTAATATCATGTAATTGACACCAAACGATGATGTCAGGCTTTTGGGTCATGACACCATCTGTTGGCAGCTGGCTATGGAGCTCCTCCTGGTTGACTTTTGCTTCCTCAAAGCAACAGTGAAGGAGCAGTTCATTTGTTAGGATGATGCACGAATCTCTTAGTCGACCTGGTTTCAGCAAACTTACTTTTCATGTTAGAATGCTGTATTCAGCAATCGAGCTAAAGATGGAATGCTTTGAGTAAAACTTGGCATTCGTATTCTGACATTTGCAAATCAGTGGGCTAATAGTACCCTTTCTCTCTCTCCTCTTTTCTCAGCAATGGAAGAGTTAATAGTTGAACTTCGTCTTTTTCTTGAACTCCTGGACCATGAATATCTGACATCAACTGTCAGGGAGAAAAAGGCAGTAATAACCAACATTCTGCTGAGGATACAGTCATCGAAAGGTGAGTATCATTCAAACATCTGGTCTTTTTTCTTCTGATCCGTTTTGGCTTCCAAATCATTTTTAATTCCACCGTCTTTCTAAAACATGTTCATTTGTTCATTAACCTATGAACCTGATGATCACATTTTCACTGAGGGCCCATCCTTGTGCTGGGTGCTGTATTAACCTCTAGGTATAGAAAGATAAGGCCTTTAAGGAGCTAATAGAACCATGGTTGTGTTGGGGGGTCCCCAAGAGCACCCCAGCGCTCAGAGATTAACTAGAAGGATTCACAGGACTCAGCAGATAGTTGTATTTATCATGCTCAAAGTACATTACAGCAGTAGTGAGGACACAGTCTGGTTGGAGGAGAAAAGACTCAGGGGGAGTCTGGAAGAACCCAGGTGCAGGCTTCCTGAGACTCGCTCCCTCCCATGAGGATCACATAGAGCACACTCTTTCCTCAGCAGCAAACATGTGGCACCTTTGTGTGACGTTTCTGTTCAGGGAAGCTCATTAGACACTCAGTGCCCTTTGCCTGGCACATACAGAATTCCAGACTCCCAGAAAAGCAGGTGTTCAGCATAAACTAAGTTGTTTGCACAAACAGCGTAGCCTCAGTAAAGCAACCTTATCAATTAGGGAACGGTGGGAAAACTTCTGAATTCCAGATTCCCAGACACCAGTCAAGGGCCAGCCTTGCAAGCAGCCCTTTCTACAGATAGTAGCCCAGGTCTGCTGTGTTAATTGCTATGCACAGTGTAGGTAAGATAGGAAAACAGGGAATGGTAAAGCCTGCTAACTACTGTTGTGGAACACCAGGGTGTTGTGAGAGCACCTAAGAGGAGGAAACAGACCAGTTTAGTGAGAGACAAGAGGGTGGAGGGGCAATTATTGGAGGATATGATGTTAGGATCCTGAAGGATCTACAGGAGATAGCTAGGTGAGATGTAGGGATTTTCTTTTAAACATCTTTTTTGAGATACAATTCACAGACCATACACTGCACCCATTTGAAGTGTACAGTTCACTGTTTTTTAGTATATGAAGCCAAGGTATGGCACAATTAGATTTGTGTTCTGGAAATCTCACCTTGTCAGTCTGGAAGATGGGTTGAAGGATTTGGTGGCAGATTGAACTTGAGTGGGGTGGGAACCTGGGGGATGGTGGGACTAGTCACTGAGATAAGAGTGCAGGATGAGGACCATATTTTGGGGGCAATATGAAATGTTCATTTTTGAAACAATTTTGTTACTTCTCTGCTCAGACTCTTTCATTCATTTGCCTTTGCCTATGGTCAAAATCTAGGCTCCCCAGGCTGCCCTAGAGGGCCCTTTGTATTATGTGGTTATGTGTGTGAACTCCAAGGTCAATCTGGCTTTGCCCACTACCAGATACATCACCTTGCACAAGTTACTTAACCTCTTTATGCTGTAGTTTCCTCATCTACAAAGGGCTAATAGTAGTGTCTACCTCATGGGATGCTGTGAGGACTGAATGAAATAATACAAAATATTTCAGAACAGTGCCTGACAGTAGCTATCGACTCTTATTTTTTATGATTGCTTTTGTTAGTAGAAGCAGTGTTCCTTCTCAGTCTCATCTCCTCTACGTGTACCCCTCTTGCAGCTGTTCCAGACTCTGGGTCTACACACACTGCAGTGTTTGACCCTCGGGGCTGTAGTAGTTGCCATTGCTTTCCCTTGATTTCCCGTCTCCTTCCTCTGCCCAGCGAGTTCCAGCCCTTGTCTCTCCATGCTTCCTTCTGATGTATCTTCCGACATTTTCCTATTCACTAATTCTTTCTTCAGCTCTTTAATTTTCTTTAAGGCCATCTGCTGATTTTTTTGTTGTTGTTGTCGTTAGAAGTAGAATTTTCATTTCCCTCCTTCCCTCACCCCCTCCCTTTCCTCCCTACTCCCCTTCCCACCTCCCTTCCCTTCTTACATCCTTCTCTCAGTTCTCTGCCAAAATTCTTATCTCCATTGCAGCTCCAAAAGGTCAGGCACTAGGTCTTTTTATATACAAGGATACTTCAAAAAGTTCATGGATGGGGAGGGTGGTTGCAGGTAATTGGGTGGGGGACAGGGGTATAATCACAATTTGTGATAATGGGCAAGCTGGGAGTATGTATCTGGCCATCACATCTTGGGCACGAGTGGTGCCAATCAGCTTTGTACCCCATGAATATTCATAACCAAAAAAAAAGTATCATAAAAAAAAAGTTCATGGAAAGATTCATATTATCTTTTAATTATGTTTTTCCGTGAATGTTTTGAAGTAGCCTTGTATTTCAGTCCCTGGCCTCTAGCACAGTGCTTGATCCATTATAGGTGATCATCATTAAGTGACTATTTTTACGGGTCTTTCCACATGAGCTCTTGGCATATAAATAGCATTGTGCCCAGATGAAAGCTTACTTCTTCCTCTCTGCTGTCTTCACTAGTGCACTGTTCATCACATTTTCTCATAGTGGTCTGTGTATTTGTCTTTCTAACCAGAACATGAGTGCCCTGAGGGGTGTGAGCTTATATCAGTCATGTCATCCAAAAAGTATGTCTACTGTAGTATCTGACTTTAAGAGGACACTTAATAAGAAGTATTGATTCTCAGTAAAGTGTCTGCTTCCTTAGTGCATAGGTAGGGCTATCCTGAGTAGAATTTCAGGTGGAGCAACTTGCCTTTGAGAGGCAGCATGGCTTTGAGGAGAATGTAGACTTTGGTGCCAGCTCCATCATTTCTTAGCTGTTAATGTTTCAGTTAGTTCCTTAACCATTCTTTCTTTTTCTTTCTTTCTTTCTTTCTTTCTTTCTTTCTTTCTTTCTTTCTTTCTTTCTTTCTTTCTTTCTTTCTTTCTTTCTTTCTTTCTTTCTTTCTTT